TCAGACCCCTTTAAAAAAACTTTAAATGCCCAAATTTCCTTAGTAGCACATCTGGTTCCTAGAAATTCCTAGGAACCTGAGAATTCCAATGAACAACTGCACCAAACCAATGCAAATTACTTGAAAAGCTAAATACTGCATACTTTCATTCAAATCTGTTAGCAACATGTAAACATGAAAAGGAAACAGAATAGCCAGAATTATATCAAAGTGGTGATTTGCACAGGCCTTAGCCCTTCTGGGCTGGATAGAGCACTCAGGATCTCTAGCTGCTGCTTAACAGCAGTGGGAATATTCTTTCTCAGCTTGCAGACAGAAGAGGGGAGGCCTGTTCTCCAGGGCACTATACAGACAGACACCTTCTGCACCAGAGGGGATGTTGCACAAACAGTCAACAAGTCCACAACTCCAGGTCATTAAGTGTCATGGTCACCTTTAAGACCTACATTGTGGACTGTGCAATGACACCCTACGTGCTTGTGAATCGGGTTAATTAGAATTGAACCTTTTTCTCCATGCAATGGATAGTGTGGCTTCTGGGGTCAGAAAGCTCACAAGCTGGGCTAACTTGGAACAAGTTTTTCTAAATTCAGTTGCTTCATCTATAAGACAAGGATGAAATAGCAATATACCTTTCAGGATTACAGTGAAGCTTCATGGACTAGTGCATATGAAAGCAATGTGTGCACACTAAAGTTCCATACAAACATCAGGTGGTGTTTGCCTTGGAAGCTATTCTTGGAGTAAGAATAAAGCAAGCTTTTTATCCACCTAGTAGCACAAACAAACAGTCAGACATCCCTGCCATTGAAGGAAGACCAAAGAAAAGCCTTTGGAGGCAGAGACATTCAGAGATGTTTGTTTCCCAACCTCCTGGTCTGGTCATGGCCCAGACCAGCTGTTGAGGAGATGCAAAGCAGCTGCAAGTTGGGAGGAAGTCCTGAGCTAGACCTCCGGCTCCTATAAATACCTCCCGTTGCTCACTAGTCAGGCAGCAGTGGCCTCCTTGCAGAGACAAGAGGAAGCTCTGCGCTTCCAAGAGGCTCTTTAAATGGAAACAATATAATTTTGATCTGACTTTATTTGTTGCTAGAAGAGGCTTAATAATTGATAAAAAAAAATGTATATAAATACTCAAATACTTTAGGATGTGTACCACGGAAGTCCCTGTTTCTCCCTGAATAGGGAAAGTAAAAAGACTTCTTCCATGGGAAGAATAAAAGGCAAGAGAAAGATTAAAAAAAAAAAACAAAACTGTAAAAGACCATGTCTGTGCCAACATTGGTTTACACAAGGACATGGCAACTATCACTTACAGTTTGGTAGCACATTCTTTAGTAAGTCCTTAAGGCAGTACATTCAAACTAACTTACAATTTGATTTGATGTTAATTTTTTAAACTTCGCCTAAAAAAAAAAAAAGCCTTTTTATAATGGTGCTCACAAGCGCCACTGTCACTGAGGGTCAACCAGCTTTCCATTCAGAACACCTATTTCTGAGTTCCTCATAAACTATCATATTGGGTAGAAGAAATGTTATAATCACCACCTAGATTCTTTGCCGGTGGCCCAATATACAGCTTTTTCTAGGAATGAGTCTCCACTTAGTTGACTTTCCTAAGCTGTTCCTCTTCTACAGCCTGTACAGTCAATTGTGTTTTAACAAATCTCTGAAGCTGTGAAATCACCCATCTTAATTTTATCTACTTTTTCCTTCTGGCTTATTTCACTGAGCATAATTCCTTCTAGTTCCATCCATGTTGCTGCAAATGGCATGAGTTTATCTTTTTTGATTGCTGAATAATATTCCATTATGTATATATGCCACATCTTCTTGATCCAGTCATCTATTGTTGGTTTGGTATCGGATGGTTTCACTTACAGCAGGAATATAAGGGAACCAAATAAGACATCAGTGTAAAAAAATAACAGTGCAAAACACAGCAAAGCAAAAACAAACAATTATAAATCAGAGACATACTGCAGGGGAGGAGGAGGGAGAGGGATCAGAGGGAGGAGCACAAGGGACTGAGGTGATGGTGCACGGGTGCATTGGTGAAGGAAACTCTATGGGGACTACACCTGAGGGGGTGGGGGAAGCAAGTAGTGTTTAAAAATGAACAATCATGTAAAAAATAAAAAATAAAAATTTACCTACTTTTCCCAGTGGGCTAATCCATATGCCAGCAGAGGGCAGGGGACTTAAACTGGATTTGAGTTGAGAACCTGAGAAGAGGTTGACAGGAAGAGGAGCTGGTGGGCCACCAGGCACACAGGAGAGAGGGGTTCCCCGTGGAAGGGAGCAGGAAGCTGTTTAAGTGACCAGAACAGATCCCCTGGGAAGGAGCAGGTCAGAACACAAATGCCAGAATGGGGGAAAGCGGAAAGAAATCCTAAGCTAGCAAGCACGAATTATGGATTGCTAACCGCTTTTAATTGTGACTATAATACAGTCAGGAGGTGAAAAGGTTTTCTATACAGATGTAAAGTTTCTCGCCAATTTTAGAAGGACCAACCCAAGCATTTTACAAATAGAGCCTGGTAGTGGACTTATGGCTCATGGCAACCAGGTGGAGCAGTGACTGTTGCAGTTCTGATCCTGTCAACTGTTGGGCAGTTACAGGAAAACCTGCTCAGGCCTCTGGAAACTTCCAACCTGGAGGCTGAGAAGAGAATGCTTGGGAGTTATTCTCATGCAAAGTGATATTTAAAGTCATTAGAGTGCAGCCTGGAAACCACAGGCAGTTCAGAAAGGGTGTCAAGTTCACATTCTGGAATCTAGGGCCAGTCCTCAGAACCAGTGGGAGCCAGCAGAGGAGCCAAGATTAATCTGCTGCAGGGAAAAAAATAGGGAACCTGCACACTGAATCTACACTGCTCACAGTGAGGCTGCCTCCTGGCTCAGTCCCATTTCTAAGGCTCTGTTAATAAGTGCTTGCCTGGGTGTGCAGAAAGGGGCTGGGCCAGGGGGCTGGGTGTGAACAAAGTCACTGGGAGGAAACCTGGGCCTCTCCTTTGGGTGGGGCAGGGATGACTGAGGAATCTGAGGAAGAAACAGCTAGGTAAGTAAGGACTGTGTTGAAATGAGGTGGCCCAGGGCCTAAGACAGGGCAAGGCCACCCTGCCCTGCCACATGGCTCTCCTCCCAGTTTCCTACACTGCTGGGGCTTCCTTTATTCTCAGGGAATCTGAGAATCAGAGCCTTTCCATTCTGTGCTGACACTAGAGTACAGCAGAATTGCCTAGGCCTGATGCCCAGATCCAGTCAATCAAAACCCTTGAGTTCCTTAACCAGGGGAGACAGACAGGTACACAGAGAATTCAATTCATCCTGCTGGGTGTGACCCAAGAATAAAATAGCAGCTGCTTGTTTATGGAATGCCTTGGTCCAATGCTCATGCTACTTGTGTATCAACGGATTGACTCCTCAAAAACAACCCTAAGAGGCGGGTAATAGTGTCCTTATATTACAACTAAGAAAACTTGGGCAATCTCAGAGAGGCTAAATAACCTGCCAGTTTCCACCCAGCTACTAAATGGCAGAGCCAGTCTCTAAGCCCAGGCATGTGAAGCTTGCTGATTGTGTGCAGGACTTTGAAATCCAGCCCCGTTAAAGCCATTCTGTTTGTGCATTTGGCCCAAAGCTGTCTCCGATCTCAGAGGGTACAAGCCCTCCTCACGTCCTTGCACTTGAAAGCATACACATGAGGGATACTGTGGAAGCCATGCTTCATCCAGCTGCAGCCCCTCCAGAAGGTTGAGTCACCCCGAGTTGATTGCACCATTGCTTTGTGCTGGGGAAGCATACCTACTGTCCACCTGCTCCTCAGTCATAAAACTGCCACATCAGAGCTCGGCCTGCCAGCTCCACATTTCCTATAGTCTCCACCTTCCCGAGAAAGAACATCACTCATGGCAGGACACCCAGCCTGCCTTCTCTTTATAATATGCTATTGGACAACCAGACAGGTCAAAGCTCAAGGAACAGGATATTTTCTTTTGCTTTTCACTAGATGGCTAGGGAGAGGAGAACAGGGCAGCTGAGAATTGAAGGACAGTCTAGAGAGATGGACTGATTAAAAAAAAAAAAAAAACAGAACAACTTTCTCAGGATTTAACCTGTGGATCCATCATTTAGTCTTTCAGCTGAAAGGTTCCCACTTTTTCCTGAATAAAGGTTTCCTTATCTGCTCAACTAACATTCTCCAAATGATTCTAAATCACGATAGCACCTAAAAATGTATCCTTTGTGCAAAGTTCTCCAGAGGCGCTCTTTTCTGTTGCCAGGACTTGCATCAGTGTAATAGTTGGGTAAGACAGCCAAAATGAAATAAAAGCAAACCTTCTAGAGTACACAGCAGTAATACTAAACTGCACGTGTAACATGGGCTCTGGTTATACATGTTCACGTTTGCTGGAGGCCCCTAACCACTGCCAATGTTTCTTATGTTGGTTTCCTCTTAGAAAATCCTAGAAAAAGCTACTTTTATACTGTGGTATATAGTTCAACTACTAGTACTAGCTTTCTGCAAACCAAAGATTTATAAAGGTACTCAAATGAAGAACAAGATGACACAACCTAGACTGTTGAGAGGCATTTTAGTGATTACCTGATAGAGGTCATGGTGACTGGAATGGGCAACCTTGTACCCCAAAGGAACACAAAGCATTGTGATTGTTTAAACAATTTAAAGATAACTGTTACTCACCTTTAAAAGCTATTCTCTTCAGAGCCTCCCTGGTGGCGCAGGGCTAAGTCTCAGGACTATCACCAGCCACTGCAGCATGAGTTTGATCCCCAGCCAGGGAGCTGACCCACATAGCACAGCAGACCTCTCCTGTCTTGCCCACTGTACCCCTCAGCAGTGTATTTCAGTAGAACCACCTGTTCTGCTCCCCACTCTGTCTCTGGTGAATCCTCTCACCCCTGCATCTCTGGTCTAGACCCCAGTTCTTGTATGCATAAATAAATCCTTAAAAAAAAAAACCAATTCTCTTCAGATTTCAGGTAGAAGTAGTAACTGAAGATGTCAAGCAAAACAGCAACCACCAACAACATTGCCCAGGCAAGGAGAACTGTGCAACAGTTAAGACTAGAAGCCTCTATTGAAAGAATAAAGGTAAGAAGACTTGATTGGATTTCTTCCTGACAGTTCCCACTGCTCTGCAAAGGCTAGACCACATTTCAGAGAAGGTAATGCCAACTAAATCAGCATGGGGGAATTTTTCCTCAGTCTCAGTACCTTGGCTTTCATTTCTACCTAACACAGACCTTATTTCTAAAGCACTGGGGAGCCAAAGTATATGAGTTAGCTTCTCCGAACAGAAAATCTAAAGCCCTGGACAGGATTTCCTGAGGGAACATGGTCAAGTGCTGTTATCACTGTTCTGCACTGGGACATGGGTTCCAGGTGGACTTCATAAACATCCTCGTCATCCCTCTGGAATTTATGAAGTGTTCTAGAGTTACCAGTGCAGCTGAGGTAGCCTTGCACAAGATGTCAACAACTGGGGTCTCCTTTTTAGGAAAATGTGACTTTTTCAATGTGTATAGGCTCTAATGTTTAGGAAAATGTGACTTTTTCAATGTGTATAGGCTCTAATGACCACACTGTGCACCCAGGGTGAGTAATGTTCACTTTAGTTGAGGTCTGGAAGCAACCAGAAGGCATTTATTAGGTCATCTGACTTGGAAATCTTCCTCCCCTCCCCCCACCACCCCCAAAATCCCAAGAGAGAACTAGGCAGTGAGTGCCCTTGGAATGTTGTGAGTAATGCTGTTTCCTAGAAACTGAAGCAGCCACCTGAGAAATTCCTCTGGGTCTGGAGATAGTCTGCAAAACACGAGGCTGTATGGATGGGCTCAGCTGCCCCATGCTCCTCACCTAAGGACCCAGGCCTGATTATGACAAGTAGTCTCCCATGCAGACTTCTGAACAGGGCATAGCATTTTTCCATTTCTTACTCATGCCAGAGTGAGGCACTGCATCTTCCCATGCTGGTTTTCTACCTTGTTTTCTTTCCCCAAGCCCTATTTTTGACAAGATTATTGCTCTTATAACTTTTGAAGTTCTACTAGAACCTGGCTCTATTCTGAGTTTTGGCTCCAAGCCCATAACAGGAGAATGTTAAAACACAGAAGTGAGATATCTTACACCGATATCTCCTGACCCCTAACAACAAATGCAAGCTTCCAGAAGAATTCTAACAACAAATATCACATTTACTCTACCAGGATTCAGTTTGCCACATTTGCTTTCTCTATACATGTACACACGTACAACACATTATTTTCTTTAAACCACTTGAAAGTTATTTGCAAACATTGCGGACTCTTCACCCCAAAATAGTTCACCATCTATCTCCTAAATACAAAGGCATTCTTCTATCTAACCACTGCATATTATAACATTCGGGATCATCTAATATAGCACTGTCCATATTTGAAGAACCCAAGCCACTCATTTTGCCATATGGCCCTCACTTTGGATGTCATTGTTTGCTGATGATTAGATTCTGGCTAAAAATGTTTCTGCAGGGATGCTAGTTAGCTGGTGGTGTGTCATCAGGACTTGCTCTCTGAGAAATATGATGTCACGTTTTCTGATCATGACATCTAATTGCTTGGGTAAGGAAGGCCTTATCTGCCCAATTTCTCCATTTAAAGGAACTTTTCCCTTTTTAAGAAGTAGTCTGGGAACGATACTTTGAGACTGGCTATCCTGTTCCCCAGCAGGCTTTCAGTCAATGGGTTAGCATTCAAATACACTTCTGAAGTTTGTAAATAGTTTTTTCCCTTGTTTGTTTTATATTTGGTTTGTCTATTCATCAGGTTTCAAAGGCATCAGCGGACCTCATGTCCTACTGTGAGGAGCATGCCAGGAGCGACCCTTTGCTGATAGGAATACCAACTTCAGAAAACCCTTTCAAGGATAAAAAAACTTGCATCATCTTATAGAGGAAAGTGAAACAGTGCCTCGCCTCTTCTCAAAGCAAATTACGAGCAGCTCCTTGAAGAGATTTACTTCAGCTTTGGTAACCACTGCTAATAACTAAAATGCTCTTAACTTGGAATCATGGACTCTGAAGTCTTTATTTCCCAAGTTGCCCTTTCTCTGAAATTCCTATACTTATTTAATAACAATCTTGTTTTCCATTTGAAAACTATGGTGTCTCATTGGGTTACCACTTAAGGAAAGTTGGTCTGGGCCTTAAAAAAAAAAAAAAAAAAAAAAAAAACTGAATAACTTTACTCCTAAAACCTTTATATCCTAGTATGTTCTTAATAGGATTATCCCAGCCTGTGCAGTCTACACTCATAAGGAGTGTTGTGTGTATATATATGTCTTTGTGTACACACATCAAAGCTTATTTCCTTGTAAAAACGTCCCTCTCTCCATACCACCATATCCTCAACTCCAGAAGTTAAATACCTTTATTGTGAGCTATGTGTATGGAAGTAGAATAAAAACATTCTTTTCATAGTTATTGCAAAAGAAGAAAGAACATCCTAAAGGTTATATTTATTATAATCTAGTAATAGTCTTTGTAGTCAACTAATGAATTCATCTCTCTTCTCGAAATCTCGCTGACTTCTTAGGCTATAATAAACTGTGCCAACTAAAATGTAAAGTCTGAACTAAAAGCCACTTTATAATATGAGGTATTAATTCACAAAAGGCCTCTGGGCATCATTGTTCCTGAATCAAGATGAGACCCTAAGGGAGGACCCATGGTTCATGTTCTCTAGATTAGGGATAGGCACCTCAGAAATTTCCACCCTAATGGCTGGAGTGAGATAGTGCACAGGAGCCCACCCAAGAGAGGAGCAGAAATGTGTGAAAACCAGCTGCTCTTGGCCTGACTTCATGACATAGCTCTGTCTCTGCCTTCCCTTTATCTTTTCTCTGCTGCCAGATATCTATGCTCAAAGGTTGTGTTCACCACCCTAGCCTCAACTGGGTGGAACACTATGGGATGAAACCATAACAAAAGGTATCAAGACGTATCTGCAGCGTTATCCCTACCTTGTCCGCAGAGCATCTGTGAGAGGAATACAGGCCACCCTGACCCAAGGGTCTCAGCAGCTGGTACTGGGCTCCTTGATTATCCTCAGGGCATGAATGCAGCCCTCACCTCCTCCATTTTCCAGTGGGGATCCCCAAAAAAGAATGCCCTATGGCAGGAGGGTATTGAAACTTTATCAGAGGAAGAGAGTCCTTTCTTCACTTACTTCAGGGCCTAATCCATTCACAAGAACTTTGGAAATTTTAATTTTCAGTTTATTAAAGATTTATTCTTAAAGGAGGATTTAATCCCAAGAAGGAATTATTTACAATTTGCCCTAGTCCTGTACAATCGTGCCCTGCAGACAAGCCCTTTTCAAAACCTAATGTCTGGACTTTGAGAATTATGCTAATTTTGGTGAATAAATGCAAGTACTGTTTCTTCACGTCACCTACAAACTGGGCCTTGCAAACTGTCTCCTCTCTTCCAAGACCATATGAAAATCATGCCACCATTATAACATCTCATCACCTACCACTCCATTCTGCAATACACCCAATTTGCAAGTAAATTATAGGCAACAATTAAGAGCGATAACTTTTACCTTTCAAAAGGTAAAACTTGAGACATATACTAAAAGACAACTTTACATTTACTGCTTCACTGAATGAGACATTTTTATAAGTATATTTTTCTACTGATAGTTTCAGAACATCAATTTTCCTTTCACTTTGATTTTTAACATGTTTCTTTAAATATTTATAAAGCCGCCTGCTACAGAATGTTTTCATGAAATTACTTTTATTATACAGTTGTAGGCACATTTTTTGTAGCAAGCATAGTTTATGCTTTCATACTAAAACATTCTGTTACCTAACAAAAGAAATATGTTTTGCTATATATTTGTTAATATGCTTGCAGTGATAAGGTATGGACTTGAGGTCCCAGGAGATTTCATTTTATTTTCACTGGCCAGACATAAAGGCTATGAATATAAATATTATGTAATTTCCTATCCAGGTGTAGGGCATGTTCAAGAAAAGTGGAATCAAATCCTTTGATGCTGAACCCTAACTGTTGATTTACTTATAACTCGACGTCTATGTGGGAAAATATAATATATGTATACATATGTGATATGCAGAAGTCACTTTTATTTATCAGGCTTTATTCTACTTATGAAGCCACAGTTAAACTGTTTTACAGCAGCTGGTTTATGATAATGATAGACAAATGCCCAGTGTGTGTTTTTTTCCCCCCTACCTACTACTATATTAATCACACTCATTAATCACTTATATGAGCAATTTCTTGGCTTCAGATCTATGAAGCCATTTAAGTATGTACAATATATTTTGTCCTTAATGCTGCTTATTTTCATTCTTCTATCTTCATTAGTTTATCATAAATCTGTCCAGTTAAGGCCTCAGGACCATAAGATTTGCTAGACGGAACTTCATGACTCCAGTTTTTTATAGAGAAAACACTTTGTATACTAGGCAGTTCACAAGCCATAGGTTCTAGCTATTTTTTAAATTTCCTTACCTTATTCAATTCAGAAGTGCCATACTTATCTTTTAAAGACCTGATTTGCTTCCTCTCTGTTTGGACTGTTTTGTATTTTACTAATCTTTAAACTATCAAAAAAAAAATACCAATGATTTAGTAATTTTTAGGCATAGGTTAGATCATGGAGGATGTGCCAAACCTTCCCTCTAGCTGCCTTCTCCTCAACCAATTTACAACTAAGCTAGTATCATTTGAGTGATTCCTCTGAATTTTGATTTAAAATCTACTTAGGTCCCCCAAGAAGTGAACTCTAGTGCATGTCCTTTCTTGGTAAAATAAATAACCCAGTTTCTTTTGAATTGTGTTCGTTTCTTCTATGGTAGACCTGTTGATAAAACTACATTGACTCAAATAGAATTATATGTATATTAAAATAGAGCACTTACCTAAAATTGGGCGGCCTAGATTTTAGCCTCGGATCACTTTCTAGCCAATCCTGTGTCGCTGTATCATGTGACTTTGGACAAAGCAGTTCCTCTCTCTGGGCCTCCATTTCACCATCTGAAAAATGAGAGGCTTTTAGTAGATGATGGCTGAGCTCCCTCCCTGCTCTCAGATGCCTCAGTCCAATGCCTACCCCTCTACTGGTCCTGCCAACATGTTGGTGCTATAAGCTGCTTCAAATATAAAATTGGTTTGTCTATAGCATATGCTCATTTAATAGTTTATGAAAGACCATTTTGTTATACAGCTTTTCCCCCTAATTTTATGAACTTGATTACTGTAATGTTTTTTAGCCATGTAACTATAAACATTCTCTTGATGTGTCTCAGTAAATTTGCATTTGATATATAATTGATGGAATTTTGTTAAAATTCTTTGGCTACTCATCTGTCCAGCACCTTATTAACCTAAACACTGTGATCATTGTTTGCAAACCTGTCCTATGAAAAGAATAAAATCATTTACTTCACAGCTAACATTCACAATATTTCAAAGAAGTTTCATTAAAAGCACCATTGCTGTATTTACTGGGTCATTGCCTCGTTGCTATCCTGTCCATGTATTGTTCAGTAAATTGACCAATTCTCTTCCTTTTTTCATTCATTTTAGTTAACATTTTCTGTGCACCTGCTGAGAGCCAGGTGTGGAAAATAAAGCTCTGATGACGCTCAAATGAATAAAGCTTACAACCCCAGAAAGGTGGGGATGACACGTTCAAATTCACAATTATTGTGCTGTGTAAGAAGTGCTGTAGCTCAGGTGAACACAAGGAAAGCCCAGAGGAAGGAGGCACTGGCTCTACTTTAATGAAGCCCAAAAAGCTGCCCAAGGGAGGTGGTGTTGAACTAGGTTCCTGAAAGAAAAAGAAGGCTACACGCATTGGAATGCAATCTTGGGAGAAAATGGCAAAGGAAAAAGGTGTGCTCAAAACTAGCATGCAGAGTGTCACTCAATCTACTTGTCTGTCCTGCAAGCACCAGGAAGGCAGCAGAGTGACGTAATGTTCCCTCTTTATGGAGGGTTGTTTCTCATCCTGAGACCCAGCTGTGACCATGAAAACAGATAACACATGGGAAGCTCATCAGACTCAAGATGACTCAGATTCACCAAGTATTTGCCAAAGGTACCTGACCTTCTCAACCCTTTCCCCCCAGCCTGGGATTCTCACAGAAAAGGGAGGACAGCACATTAAATTAGTTAAATGATGACCACCTGCTTATGAACTGGGTGAACTACACAGATAGTCCCTGCTTCTGAGAATCACTATTCACATACTACAAAGGGGAGTATAAGATAGCAACTCAGGCCTTTCTGGGAAAGGACTGAAGAATCGAGATATCTTGATCGTGAAAAATGGGTAGCAACTGAAAAGCACTTTCACTGATTCAGACCAAATGATCAGAAGTTCTTTCAATGGAAGATGATTGTATTAGGGATGGTAGATGGGATTGGGTAGAAGGGAGTTCAAAACAAGGTAAGGGGCTGGAGGATAATGAGACTAAAAAGAAGAGATACCATGTAAGTAAACATGACAGATGAACACCTTTGTGTTCTGAATAAGGAACTCAAGCCTGCACACAGGGCCTCCCTAGTTGCACAGGGGTTAAAGACACAGCGCTATCAAGCTATATGCAGCCACTGCAGCACGAGTTCAATCCCCTGCCAGCCAGGGAGCTACCCACATGGCACAGCAGACCTCTCCTGTCTCGCCCACTGCTACCCTCAGCAGTGTATTTCAGTAGATCTGCCTGTTCTGCTCCCCTCTCTCTCTGGTGAATCCTCTCGCCCCCTGCACCTCTGGCCTATACCCCAGTTCTTGTATGCACAAATAATTAAATAAAAACCTGCAGACAACAGTGGGAGTTTAATATAGAAACTCATGTCATATAGCCTTTCAATTCTCTTCCTCCCTCCTCCTCAGGACCAGGTTTATACTTTTTTGGCTTCTCTCTCCCACCATGTTTGCAAGACCTGGTTCCACAATCACCTCTAGCCTTCTAGACCATTCTCACCATTAGCATGGCTGTCGCCTTTTCAGAGCAGGGTTAGAGTTACTCTACCACTGTGAGCAGCAAACAACCTTTGCCTTCGAACGAGTACTTCTGCTTCTCTAATTACTGTCTCCTTATCTGAGTCATGCACTGCTATCTTAAGTTGTTTAACTGTAAACTATCCCTGGCCAGCAAACACGTACAGTCATTTCAAGAACCCTCACCTAGTTATCAATTTTTTCAGAAACCACTATTTTCTCTGCTCCGAAAGAAAATAACACCCAAGTAAATTCATCCAAAAGTGCTAATGACTTAATTTATTAGTCTATCAAAGACAGCTGACATTAGAAAATACAAATATGAAGAGCAATGCTGAATACAAGAGTACAATTCATAGTGCTGAAGGTATCATTGAGAATTTTATATGTATTTACATGCATTTTAATGCTTTGTGCATTCCAATACCCCATACTTCTTCCTAGATAACCTATTCAATTATACAAATAATTGAGATGGTTGAGATATTTAATGGTAAAATCTCAGGTTTGAAAGTCTAAAATTGGCAGCTGAGGCATCTGTTGTCTGTTACTTCTGGTCTCTAGATCCAGTCAGCCCCATCCTTCTACCCTGCTTCATGGTAACAGTTCTATCCACAGTGAGACCTTAAATCTAGTCCTGACATAGTACATTACCACGCAAAATCCCAATGACCCTATGGATTCATAAATTGGTATGCTGGTGGCCAGCAGAAGGATGCGCTCACAGAGCAAATATGGACAGGAGTTCCTGCTCTGTACCAGGTACTGACTGTCTCAGTCATTAATGTCCCTAAGATCAGGGTAATGATAACAAAGTTGACAATGTGAGATGTAGATAGTGCATAAATTTAACTTTTTATTAATTTTTTTAAACAAGCATTATCATTTAAGGTTATAGTCACTTGTGCTATTTTTTTTAAGATTTATTTTATTTATTTATTTATACAAGAACTGGGGTGCAGGCCAGATGCACGGGAGGGTGAGAGGATTCACCAGAGACAGAGCAGGGAACAGAACAGGCAAACAGGCAGACTAACGAAATACACTGCTGAGGGGAGCAGCGGGAGAGACAGGAGAGGTCTGCCACACTATGTGGGACCCTCGCCGGCCGGCCAGGCCGGGATCAAACAAGCGCTGTCAAGGCTGACAGCTTCACAGTGCTGCACTCAACTGCCTGCGCCACCAAGGGAAGCCCACTTTTTATTAATTTTAAATTTTGTGAATTGTATATTTTAACATATATTAGGAAACTAGAATAAACAAGTTGTGATGTAAAGATTCCTTCTAAGATTTAAATAAAAAATAATCCAATTTAGATTTCCAAAAGTGTAAGTAAGTAGTAGCACCATGTGTACCAAGGCAAGCACTGCTTGGGAGAACCGCTTCCAAGAACCATCCATGTGCTGCAGATTGCTACAGTTTCTAACTTGAAATATTTTCCCATGGCCAATGCATTAGAATTGCTTTGTTCAAAATAAACCCCTTTTAGATCTAACATCAGTGAAGTATGTTTCAATATGGTCTATAGAACATCTGTCCTTTCAGACATTTGTGCAAGGTACTGGGGAAAGGGACCTCAGCGTGACACGGGACTGGGCACATTTAAGACTCACAACTCTCTGAAGGCACGTATATGTAATTTAGCTCCATCCTACAGAGGAACTTGACTCAAAGAAATGTGCATGAGCCTGCAACCTAAGAAGTACAGATGCTAAGTTTAAACACCTTGGTTAACCAGACTACCGTGTATGGACTGCCTTCATACTTGTAGCATGGTTTGAACATGCACTTACTGTCTCCTTATCTGAGTCTTACCTTATCTGTGGGGAAGACAAAATAACTTTGGCTGTTTTAAAACTAATAAAATAGGGAAGATGAGCAAGTGAGTTCTTCAGTAACCAAGAGTGCAATGTCCTAGACCTGAAGTAAGAATAAATACCATATTCTACGGACAGGTACTGTTCAGCATTTTATATACCAATTAGTAAATGGACAGGTACTGTTCAGCATTTTATATACCCATTAATTCAATTTTCCCAAGGATCCCAAGGGGTGAGTACTGTTATTATTCCTACTTTACATATGAACATATGGAAGCCTGAAGATCAAAAAATTATTTGACTGGCTATTTCGTTAATGCATTTTTCATGAGTAATCAGTATGCTTAAGAAAATGAACACATGACTTGGAATCAGGCATGTAGATGCTAGTTTGACTGCCACTAATTGTTGTCTGACCTCAGGACCTTTATGACTTCTGGTCCTATTTCCAGTAAAAATGAATTTTTTAACTAGGATTTAGGCTAGGTAATCAGTGACATTTCTTCTAGCTTTAAATAGCATACAAATTTGAGAAAGGAGAGCAGTTCACCATTGGTTACCTTTTTTGTCATCTCCATCTCAAGTCTTTACATTTTCCTCTTTGAAGATCAGGAAGAGGAAGGGGTGGCACAAGGTGTTAAGACAAAACACTATGAAGCTATCCGCAGCCACTGGAGCATAAGTTCGATCCCCGGCCAGGGAGGTGACCCACATGGTGCAGCAGACCTCTCCTGTCTCACCTGCTGCTCCCCTCAACAGTGTATTTCAGTACATCTGCTGGTTCTGCTCCCCACTCAGTCTCTGATGAATCCTCTCACCCCCTGCATCTCTGGCCTGCACCCCAGCTCTTGTATGCATAAATAAATAAATCTTAAAAAAAAAAAAAAGGAAAGAAAATCAGGAAAAGGAGAACCAGTGTCTAGAGGATGGGGTCAGAGAAGGGTATGTGGGTTTGCTGTGTATAATTATAGGTATTTAAAAGATATTTAAAGAATCACTTCCTGATATTTCAGCTACTGACTCATCAGTAGGACTGAAAAGAATTTTTAAGGAAAAATGAATTGTAGGAAGGTATTTTGTATATAAGCAATTAAAAGAATTAACAGAACTGAGTTTTTCAACAAAATATGAACAATGCCTTATGAGTTCATAAAAATCTAACTAAAGGAAAATATAACCCACACAAATATTAAATATTAATAACAGGGAAGATGGATTTCAGATGTAGGATTCTTTTATTGAAGTCCTACTAGGAGTATATTAGCTCATATTTGCACTGTGCTACCTCTATCCTAGGTTAAACCAAGGAAAGACAAGGATTACCAAGGATAGTGGAGGGGGCAATAAAAGGTGAATAGGTAAATTACTATGCAATGCGGTAAATGCTATTATAAAAAGTTGCTCTGCCTGAGTGAATCAGAAAAGATTCCACAAAAGAGACAATATATGATTGGACGTTGAAGGATGGGTAGAAGTTTTATAAAAGAATAGGGAAAGGCTCTTCTCTGCAGTCAAATTATGTGTTCAAAAGCTCTAGTTCTAAAGATTCCTGGGGTATCAGGGCAACACAGATCTTGTGGCAGGAGTAAGGGGAGGAGAATGTGGATGAAACTGAAGTTTAGGTGAATTCATCAAAGGTTAAGAGCATGTATTGATCATACAGGCAAAGAAAGGGAGTTGGTAAAGATTGTTAGAGCAGATTTTTGACATGGTAACCTTTGTTTTCATAAAGATAGTTAGAATGAGCAAGGAGAATAACGAGTAGAAATTGGCAGCAGTGGAAACTGGCAGCAGTGTTTCTAATCTCTGCTGAGTCCCCAATAGTATTTCACAATCTTTTATAGTTCTTGTTAAATTCTTTCTCCTGTCCAAACTTTTATTACCCTGCTCAGACACTCCTGTTTATCTCCTTCTCACACTGCACGTAATTTTGCCTCCATCAAAAAAATTGGGGGGGCCTCCCTGGTGGCGCAAGGGGTTAAGACGCAACCTATGAAGCTAGCCGCAGCCACTGCAACACGAATTCGATCCCCAGGCAGGAATATAACC